CTTTTAATTTGCATTTTTATTTAAAATAAACTTGTTATTTTATTTTTCATTTGCATATATTATTTTAGGTCAATGCATATGCATGTAATTTTTTTATTAGATTTAACTTTCTGTGTTTTAATTATGTAATTTTGGTTCAACATGGCATTTTCGCTTCTAAATGTTTATGTTTATTTCCTGATCCTCTGTTAGAATTAAATATATCTGGGAGTCGCCAACTACGGCATGCATTATCGCCAAATCTCATCTTCCTTCCTTGTTGTCATATCACATCAGGTGGATTGGAAATATGTAGGTAGTTCACCTGAAGTAGGCCATTGTCAAAGGTCATTGACATTGATATGCGCAAACTAAACACAATGCTTAAAAAAAGATTGAAATAATTTTTAAAAATATTTGAAATACGTATAGCAAATTAGTAAGTATTTTTATTTATTTTTTATTTTGTACATTTTATAACTGCAAAAATAATTATAACATAAATTAGTTTCATTTGTCAATTTTTAAGTTCTGTCTCTTGTTTCTGTTATTTCCTTTACTACTTTTAAGTAACTTTTGTATGTCCCTCGTACATATAATCACTTCCATTGTCCGTCAGACATCTGTAGCGTTGTTAACAAATTACATTTCGTTAGGAGAAAAAAATACCGCAAGTGTCGTATAGTATTGCATTGCATTTTTTTTACCTCGTTCGGTCTTGTTCCCAAAACCCGAATTGCTCCCATAACGAGAGCAAACAATTCCCCAGCTGTTATTCTATAGTCAAATGAACGCTTATTTCACGTTTTATGTGTACTCGGAATTTTATGAGTATGTTGCTCACATATTTCCTCAGCTCAGATAGTATCTATCTGTTTCCTCCGCGAAATTGGGCTATGTCGAACCACAATGACAAACTTCCCAGTAAATCCCAGTGCATAGTAATTCGAGAGAGAACCCAACGGCGTAGGTGCTACGAAATAGTTTTATTTATTCATTTTTACTTCATTTGTTTATTTGGCCCATCGAAAAATGTATAAAATATTTCAAAACAGTATCAGAATTAAAAAAAAATCGCGAATCAGTTTTAGAACCTCTTAAAAACATTAGAACAGTTTATATAGTATATATATAGTTCTTGAAATACAGAACGTCCAAAAAAAAAAAATTGTTGTTGGTAATTTGATTCAATTGAGATCGGAAATACTATACTTGGATATATTTTGAAGAAATTTCGATGCCTTTTGAAGGATTCTAAATTCAATTCGACACACTTTGATGGATTTTGAAGCTGATGTATGGTAAAACGTCTCGAAATCATTAATATGTACTCCATGGCTGTTTTGGCGTATTTTGTTTTGAAGCGGTTTTTATTTTACGTATTTGGCACCTTGTATGTCAACTGAAGTATTTAATTATATTCAGAATCATTTTTTACACGTTTTCTGTTAATTTATTAGAAACTTTCCACAGTTTGCTTGTACAGGCTATCCTCAAATAATATTTAATGAAGTTGTAAAAAGTTTTTGACTTCGAGATGATTTTTAGAGACAAAAAAAAATGGAAATGTGGCGCAATATAAAATGTGTTATTCTTTGTGTTTTATGGAAAAATTGTTTGAGAAAGCGATTTGAAGCAAGACCATTCGTGTGAGATTTTTTCCACGGTAAAACGAAATAGTGATCTACCTGGAAAATCATGCACCATGCTCGGTTCCCACTTAATTATTAAACGTCTGGTTACGTGCTTGATCTTAGATCAGTTTATGTACGAGTATGTACATCGAAGTAAACCGTAACTGTCAAACAAGAGATTGTTCCTGTCATGGCTAGGCAGATAGTTGTTTAGTTTCGCATAGCAAAACGATATTTTCGATATTTCCTTAATGGTTTTCAACAACTTTTTATCGCCCCACTCATCGAAATCGATTATAAATGGAGTCACGTTTTCTAGTACTTCACAGTACCTTTTTCTGAATCGGAGCCAGTCCGATCTCAAATTCCTAGAAAGCCTCCTGACGAGGAAAAATTCCCAACAAGCGAAAATGGCTCGTTCCCCGACATCGTCCGTCTTATCGTAGACGGCGGTATGAAATTGCAGTCACGAAATCCGGCATTCGTGTGCATGGCTAGTTTTTTTTAAAGATGAGCGCCTCGGTTGTTTGTTTAACTAAGCGGGATATTATCTATTCCGCAGATAATATTCAGATAAGATCGGGAGTAGACGCATGTCGAGTTGTAGTACTGTTATGATTACGAGAGCTGCGATGATATTTGGAAGTAATCGTAAAAATTGTTGAACTTGTCATCGTAGGTCAAACCCTTGCTTATACAGGGTGTTCGATGTCCACGGCTTGCTGTTTTCATTTTAGTTGTTTGCTAGACGTCGTTCATAGCTATCGGTCGCATCTATATTTTTTAAAATTACCACTGACTTACCACAATAATATGAAGAAACATTTTTGGAAGCGCTGACGACTTCATAGATATTTGGTTGGCTCTGCTTACAAGTGTTTATAACAATTGCTATAGATAATAGTGGGTAGTTAACGTACACTTTTCATCAGCCTCTCCGTACGTTGTCATGTCCATTAATTCATCGTTATTGTATTGACAGGCCGATTTGGTATGTTTATTCACACTTAGTAAACAAACTGTCTTCATGAAAAGAAAACAAAGTTAAAAGCAAGAATCCAGAATTATAAATGACTGCACTTAAACATTTGTTCAGTAATAGTTTTGCTTGAAACTTCTAAACAATAAAAGATACACTTTCGTAATGAAAACTGAATTAGAACTGATGATAACCTAGCCATTTTTCTGTTTACTACAAAAAATAGGACAGAGAAGTTATGCCAATACCTACATATCAGGAATTACCACAAAATATATTAATATATGCGTGTTTCCTGTTTCAACAGTTTCTCATACTTCCCTTTGTCAATAGCAGACGCAGAAAGGTCATTTTCTTTGCATAAATAACTGTTAAGTGATGAATGTCGAATGTTGAAATTTTACGTCATTCAGTACCCAACAAATAAAGAAAAAAACTAAAACTATGTCATAAATAAGTAACAATATATTAACTTCTATATTTAGCTTTCCTATTTAATATTAATACTAGAAAGGTAGGCAAGTCTGCTTCCGCGGACTTGACCTTTCTCTCGGGCCTTCGGCCCTCGCGCCGCGCTGCTCGCAGCTCGAGCACCGCTCCGCGGTGCGTTATCTGTGGATTGGTAAATAATATAACATTTTCCAAAAAAAAAAAAGAAAAAATACGACCCGCCCGCGATTCGAACCCCGGGACCATCGGCTTCGCAGTCGTGAGTTTACAAAATGAGATACGGCGATCTAACGCTGAGTGGAGCCTGCACGGGCTATTTGAAACCTTGGTTCTCCGCGAATGTAAACAGTAAATTGAAAATGTTCAAATCAAGTTTTATCGCCAAACTTGCGTCTCTAAAAGATCGGAACCGGTGCCTAACGGCAATATAACGACTCGCCGTGGCCCGATCGTCCGGGAAAACGCGTTAAATGACAACATTTATTTTGACGTCTTCACGGGCGTATGTCTCCATCTCTGTTTAAATGTCGGTTATACTTCGGGTATCTCTCGACCACCGAAAAAAGTCAATTTTCTGCGAGGACTCTTTTTAAAATGGAAATTTCACATAGAAGGCGCGAACAGATCGCCTTCAAAATACGACGTTGGGATAAAGGAAGGACGGAGGGGCCCTACGGGCCACTCGGCTTGCCGCTGTGCAACTCGCGAGGAAAGCCTTCGATAATACCGTACGCCCCTTTTCGCGGCCGAATGTGGGAGCGGAAATAACCTACAGCTTTTAATATATATAGATTATTGTCTTGTAATATACCTTCTAAGAACATTGTTCATATTAAAAACTAAATTTTACTTGAGGCAAACTATTTTAGCAGTTCCATATCATCCAAATTTTGCAAATGAGTTTTAACTCTTGCATCAGCAAGAAAACATATTTTTACTTTAGGATAATTATTGTATTTTTGGTAATATTGGTGATGTTACTAATTATTTTTATTTTATGCAGATCTCAGAGTCGCCGGAACCAATAAAACCCCAGACTCCGCCCCAGGACCTCCCCACCACGCCCAAGACTAACGGCATAGACNCTCGAGCACCGCTCCGCGGTGCATTCTCTGTGGATTGGTAAATAATATAACATTTTCCAAAAAAAAAAGAAAAAATACGACCCGCCCGCGATTCGAACCCCGGGACCTTCGGCTTCGCAGTCGTGAGTTTACAAAATGAGGTACGGCGATCTAACGCTGAGTGGAGCCTGCACGGGCTATTTGAAAGCTTGGTTCTCCGCGAATGTAAACAGAAAATTGAAAATGTTCAAATCAAGTTTTATCGCCAAACTTGCGTCTCTAAAAGATCGGAACCGGTGCCTAACGGCAATATAACGACTCACCGTGGCCCGATCTTTCGGGAAAACGCGTTAAATGACAACATTTATTTTGACGTCTTCACGGGCGTATGTCTCCATCTCTGTTTAAATATCGGATATACTTCGGGTATCTCTCGACCACCGAAAAAAGTCAATTTTCTGCGAGGACTCTTTTTAAAGTGGAAATTTCACATAGAAGGCGCGAACAGATCGCCTTCAAAATACGACGTTGGGATAAAGGAAGGACGGAGGGGCCCTACGGGCCACTCGGCTTGCCGCTGTGCAACTCGCGAGGAAAGCCTTCGATAATACCGTACGCCCCCTTTCGCGGCCGAATGTGGGAGCGGAAATAACCTACAGCTTTTAATATATATGGATTATTGTCTTGTAATATACCTTCTAAGAACATTGTTCATATTAAAAACTAAATTTTACTTGAGGCAAACTATTTTAGCAGTTCCATATCATCCAAATTTTGCAAATGAGTTTTAACTCTTGCATCAGCAAGAAAACATATTTTTACTTTAGGATAATTATTGTATTTTTGGTAATATTGGTGATGTTACTAATTATTTTTATTTTATGCAGATCTCAGAGTCGCCGGAACCAATAAAACCCCAGACTCCGCCCCAGGACCTCCCCACCACGCCCAAGACTAACGGCATAGACCACACGCCCCGGCAAGGGGAGGCGCCCAAGCCCGCCCCGCGTCGCCTAAACTCCGCCTCCAGCGACACCCAGCCGGCCCCCGCCCCGCAGAAGCAGCCGCTGACCAATAGCCTACCGCACAATAAGAGCGATCAGGGCCTTCAAAATCAGAACTACGCCCAGGCCCAACAGAATCAGGGCCACGCTCAAGCCAGTCAGAATCAGAGCCACGCCCAGAACAACCACAAGAAGGCCACGCCCACCTCGTCGCTGGACAGCGACGACTCACAGGTACTGCCGAGGCCCATCACCAACGAAGAGTTCCAGGCGATGATCCCCGCCCATTTCCTCAAAAATTCCTCCCAGTCCGCTCCCCGTCCCTCCTCCGCTTCGAGTGATAAAAACGGCGAACACGTCGCGAATTCCGTCACCACGGTCACTATCAAGAGGCCGGACCCCATCGAACTACCGCCCGCCCCCACGGGGCCGGGCCGGGTCACCGAGACCATCACCAAGAGCACCTTTACAGAGACGGTGGTCACTAGGATCACGGATAATAAGTTGGTAGAGCCCCTGATCATTGAGGTATGCGGTCGCTCCGGCGACTGATCAATTTTTGCTCTTTTAACGTAGAGGTTCTTGCATGCATACTACAGTAGCCAATCTTTTCTAGCACCTCTTAATTGTGTCGCTGCATGGTCTCAGTGCTCTAATCGCTAGGTCCTGGTTGAAAGTTTCACAGATAGCCTATAGGCGTCAAATCTCATCAGATTTATAATTTAACGAAATTGAATTGAATAAAAACGCAGTTATTTTTCGCCAAAAATGTGTAATTCTTAATGTAGTGACCCTAAAGGTATTCTTCAGCATGTTCTAAATTGTCAAAAGTAAGACTCCAGGGGCAAAATAGTAATTAGTAGACTCATCAAGCCACAATTTTTATTCTGATATCATAATTTGTGCATTCTCTGCATGAAAATTGTAATGTATCTTTCATTTCGCATAGTGTTCCGAAATGTTGCGCGCGCACTCATGGAACTTTCTTTGCTTATCGCGTACAACTAGGAAAGCCGAGTTATTATTTTCACAATACAGTTATTCCAATAAGTGTTGTTAAAAATGTACAATCGAAAACTTCGCAATGCATTTCAAGAAGTCTTTATTAATCGACACTAATATTAATCAATCACCACAGGAATCAAAAGTTTGATACAGATCAATCACAAACACTCATAATAAAACATGGAAATTAATGCACTTTAGAACGTATCTCAACGGCACGAAAACCAAACTATAAAGGTTTGCATTATTAACGGCATTGCCCGTTAGTCCAAATGGACAATATCCACAAATCGCTACTTCATTTCCATGTGACGTCATGACGTGGCCATATATCAGTATGTGGATCATGGTAGCGACCTTTAGTGGTGGACACGGAACCATTGGATTTATAGAATCCTATTCGAAGAAATCGAATAATCTCGCAAAATGTAGAATAATCTCGAACATCAGTCTAGGATTTTCTAGGAACTTTATTTGATCTAATAATTTCGTTCGAGCGACATTCGAAATGAATATAAAATAATAATTTTGCCTTAAACAGAAGATTCTCGAAATTCAAAGACGTTTACTGTTTTGTATTTAAGAGGGCTCTATAGCAAATAGGCAACCAGTAATACATTTTTACAGATTTTATTACACAGTTTGTCTAAATATGAATAAAGTAACACAAGTAGCACAAATAACAGATTCCCCCGTTTTAAATTACAAATTTCTGTACACCAGAAAGTAATTTGGGTTTCAAACTAAATCCATTTTATAGAAAATCTGCGTTAGAACGGAGGAAAGTCTGTTATTTGTGCATTAATTCATATTTATACAAACTGTAATAAAATCCATAAACATGTATTGCTGGTTGGCTATTTGCTACAGAGCCATCTTAAGGCGAGGATCTGAAACGAAAATAGCTACTGTACCGATACCGATAGACTTCTCTATTCCAATTATTAAGTCATTTACATACACATTTTTAATTAAATACTAATTTTAACTGGCTTGGAAATTTGCCTCAGCGATAACCTAGGTTATTTTAATTTTACTTAAGCTATAACAACTGAAGTGGTTGTGTTATAGAAATTATTTAAAATATCTGATATTTCAAAACAGGTATGTTATTAAATTTTACTGATACACCCTCACTATGAAATCTGAAAACGGTTCGATTTATTGAAATTAAACAGTAGTATTTTTTTCTTAATGATGTCCCAAGTCCAATTTTGAAGACTATTATAAGATATCTCGAAGAATTTTTAAAATATCATAATCGTGATATCTACCATCACTCTTTAAAGTGGCATACTAGAAAGGTAGGCAAGTTCGCTGACTCAAAAAAAAAAGTAAATAAATACAAAAGGAAGCCTTTTTTCGGACACATCATACACCTCGAAGGAAAAGCCGATCCTGGAATGAACGGACGGGATCCGGTGTCTATTTATCGGAGTGTATCGAATCGAACCGCCCGCCGTCACAATCGGCCCAGATTAACTGTAACCGAATCATCGGGATCGAAATATGTCTCGGAAATCTACTTATTAATAGCAATACGCGACCCAGAATCGCCGGGACTGTATCGCGTATCAAAATTCAATCTCCTCCGCTAATGGGAAATTCGATCTAACGCGCCGGGGTGCGCGCTGTGTACGTAATTAGAGAGGATACGGCCGAGACACCGGTAAAATTACCTCTGGGAGTCATTACGGATTTGAATTTAATATTTGCACAGAACGGTTTTCAGTTGAGATCGGGACACGTCAGGAGTGGGCCCGGCCGGGCCTTGGCCCAGCTAAAATTATGCTGGCTGAAAGCAATTTGAGAAGAGTGAAGAGATTTAAACTACCATATGACAACTAAGATCAAAAGAGATAGAAATAGTAACTACAAGTCAGATATTCACCAATATTCAGTCGCGAAAAGAAGGCTAATATAAAGAAGGACAATTCGTGACTTTTTTTTCGGAGGTCAGTTTCACAGAACATACAAATTGCTGTGACGTTTCTCCCGCTGCCAATTTCCAGGACTACTTTGCACAATATACTATTTCGTTCCAGAACATAAAACAAATGTCAAAATAATTTGTCATTTTTTCGAAACTTGTTTATGATTTTTTTAATTAAACAATATACATTTTAAGTAATGTAACATTTCAATACAAAACAGTAATTATTATAAACAGGACGATTACAATTTATTTTGCACTACATGTAAACTGAAAGTGCCGATATTGTAGTGAGTTGCCAGATCCAATGCTGTCAGTTATCGTAGCTTTTAGTTCTGGGTGTTCAATAAGGCTGCTGCTGTAATTATTGTTTAAGTTAGAAAGTTAAGAAAGAAAGAAATAGAATTTTATAGCACCTATTTTATATCGGCAAATTCAACTGCGTTTGCCTTTATTAATTAATAAACTTAATTTGTGTTTTTAAATAATAAAATCATTTGACATACTCGATGCTGCAACAGCAATTGTTCAAAATTTTATCCACCAACGTGTAAATGCATTTGGGTCCGTCTTACTCAGTTTCTACGAACTTGCTTCACCATAACACAAATACTTCATCATAATACAAATGTTGTCTTGCTTCACCATAAATTAAAACGATATCCATCAACTCCGAATTGCTATACAAGCAAACTATTTTTGGCGCTAACTACTAAAAAACTATTTTAAACACCACGGATAACAGGTAAACACTATCGCAACGACGATTGCAAAATCGGATTTCAGTATTCGGAGTCGTTGAGGCCACGTGGCTCTCCACGCGTATTGCGAATGACGCTAGAGACTACAGTTGTCCAGCTATGTAGTGGTTGAATGTACTTTAACTTCAATATTTTTTTTCTCGGAAACTATAAGGATTTTACAAAAATTTTGTTTACGATATTAACTCCATTTCTTATGCCGCATCTATTCCCAATTTTTTTTTGAATAAGTTGTGAATAACCCTATATTACTGTTGTTTTTTACTTATTGATTATGTGTCATTTTTGTGTTATCAAGATACCATATTTGTCAGTAAAATACCATTTTTTTCAAGTGTCGGATACCATATATATATTTTTTCATCTGGCAACACTGCTTCGATATCATCGACTTTTATCTTTAATAGCTCATCTCTTCTCAAAGTTTCACAAACAGCAATTATTGAAAGGACCTGAAAAGTTGTTCAAAATTAATTAAATCGATCGGACGGTATCCATCTGACTTGAATTTCAAATATGGTATTAGTTTTGGAAATTTTCTGATATTTGCATTTTTTTTTTTTTGGCATTAGGTGTACTTTTTAACATGGAATATACTGACCATAACGTCGAAGGTTTAATTTGATTAATTTTATGTTCGAAATATGCCAGTAATACCGCTTCGGACACTTTTTGGATTTTCTTCGAACAACAACACCCTTTAAATTAGTTGTAGGCAAACTCGTACTGTCTCAACGATTCTTTGGGGATCAATTGTGAAACAGCACTTTGTACCGCTTCCAATACTTCCCCTGGTAAATGCTCGTCTACACTTTCAGCTCATTTTGAATGAAACACCCAAAAAATAAAAAACAAAATATAAAACTCACACAACACTTTCAAAAAAAAAAGATTTATTGTTGATTAAGAAGCAAAAAAACAACTACCATGCAACAAAAAAAAACCACCACACAACATACAAAAAAAAAAAACTACAGTACTAATAAACATACATTAAAACAGCTCAAAATTCATAAAAGTTGCCGGATTCTGCTTCAGAATCCTTCAAAAACACCGGGACAGCTATACAATACAGGGGATGCCTTTTATATTTCGGGAATAGAGAACAAAAAAGAAATTTATGGTTTTATTGGTTTTAAAAATATTCTCCATGAAGATCATACACTTTTGCATGAGCTTGAACCAATTTTCGAACCACCTTTTCCATTACGATTCAGGTACCTCCAAAACCAACGTTTTGAACACATCAACCGCTGCCTCAGGCGTCTAAAAACGTCCTCGTAGCAGCATCAGAAAACATTCAAAGCTTTAGAATGCAATAAAATACTCAAAGGAGTCTAAGACTGCATAAAGTTAAATTATTTGACAAAAGTTGTTGCTTTTGAAAAGTTAAATGCACCGTTAAGATTAGGTACTTATTTCTGAAACACCTTGTATCTTAATCAGCGTTCTACAGTATACGGGAATTCTAATTCGACAATTTGTCGACCGTATCTGTTAGCAATCCTACTATGGGTACAATAAAAATTGATTGCGTACGACGCATTTTATTTCGCCTCGGTCAATACATATACTCTGTATTAAAATAAATCATTTTTCTCCCGTTATCACCGAACCTGACTTTTTAATGGCCTTTCCCACGCGTTTACGATCCGATCATGTGACACACCGAACGAGTCAACGACGAAAAGTAGACGGTTTTCCTTAGTTTTTACCGGATAAACCGACGATTCGCGCTTCTTGATGCGTCAGTTTCTCAAAAACATCAGAATTAGGCCCAAAGGCAAAAACGGTGAAGTGACGCTTCTGTCTGTCTGCAATGAAGAGGC